TATCTGAAAAAACTTCCATTCAATTATTAATTAAATTAAATACCACGCCGAACCATAACATGTTTTGGAAACCCCCTCGCCGAACCATTGTTAAATATTTATTACGCTTTTCTTTAATGTGGTGCAAACAATTTGCTACCGTTTTGTATCCCCTTATCCAAAAAGTTGTTAACACTTTTTCAATCAACGTTTTTATTTGTTGCTACATGTCTATTCATTTTCCCGGAGCAACTTTTATATTGTTTGATACAGTACTCCAGAAATTGGTTGGGTTATCATGTTCTCAACTATTGAACAAATAAGACAACAACAGAAAATAATCCCAAAACCTTTGAATGAACTATATGGATAGACGTTCATTTTCAAAATCAATATGAGGATTATGGATATAAAGGAAGCATTTGAATCTTATACTGTGACAAAATTTTCGCATAAAAGATTAGTTCCAATTTATTCTTATTATCCTTTCAATTAAACTTGTGCGAAAAAGATTTTATTCTTCTTAAATTGCCGTGTTTATTTATTATAATATCTCTATTCATATTCTGTTTGTTTGTTTCCTATTCCTACTTAGATAAAACAAATCAAGATATATTTGAATGTGAATTAACAAAATTTTAATTACAAGACTAAAATGCTCAATAAAACATAAACAATATTTAATATTTTAATAGATATTTAATAAGAATGTTAGACAAAAGTGTTTATGAAAATGTTAAAGAATTAAAAATATTCAACAAACATCAATCTAAATATATTATAATCTTAATTAACCAAAACTATAATTAACGATTTCTGTTACAAATTTAAAAAAACTTCCATAGCATTATTGATTAAACAAGACCCAAGCCGAATTATATAAATGTTTTATAACCATGTTGCCGAACCACAATTAAAAGATTAACTAATATATTATGACATTATCATGACATCTCTAACTTAGATATTTAACAAAATATTTATTGCCCTTCCTTTAGAACTATATCGATAAGATTTAATTATTATTAAATCACCGTGTTTATTTATTATAATATCTCAATTCATATTCCAACTGTTTATTTCCTATTCACAAAAGAATATATATTATGAGAATGTCAGAAAATTAAACACGTTCAATAAACATCAGTCTAAATATAGCATAACCTAGATTCATTCCTATGACATATTTAAAAAAACTTCCATTCAGTCATTAATTAAATAAAATCAGATGCCGAATAATATAAATTTTTTAAAAACCATCTTGTCGAACCATATTAACTACCTAACTAATATATTATAATATTATCATGACATTTCTGACTTGCATACTTAACAAAATATTTATTACGGTTTTTTTTAATATTGTATGAATAGTCTATTAACATTTCGTGTTCCCTTATTGAAACAATTGTTAACACTTTTTCAATCAACATGTTTATTTATCACCAGTTGTCTATTTAGATTCCACATCTTTGTATCCTATTCTCCTATAAATATAACTCTGACATCAATCACTCATTTAAGTTTCTTCAAATACTATACACCTTCATTGTTCATTTCTTCTCCCCAAGTTAATTTGACAATGGCTAACAAAACATCACAACCAAAAGAATCTGTAATGAATATCAACAGCAACCTCAACAACGATAATTCTCCACCAAAGCAACTAGAAGGTATGAATTTCCCACCTCTTTTGTATCCTAAATTACAAAATGTTAAACGAAACGGTAATACATATTTGTGGGAATATAAAAACCATAAAAAAAAACCTTGTTTTGGTATGTCAAAAGTTCATTTCATAATTATATTTACAAATTCATGTTACTGTTTTCATATATTTATAAAATTTGATTGTATTTTTTTTCCCGAATTGATTTAGATATTGTTCAAGGAATGCCGAAATCGACGAAAATTCTCAAAAAAGTTGACACCAATTTAGATGATCTATATGCTGCTAGAGAGAAATTCAAAGAAGTAATTGACCAAATGTTAGAAATCATGCAATCTGCCATGGATATTATCTATAACATAAACAAAAGGGAGTATGCATTTGCAGTAGAGGAATTGAACAACTATAAGAGAAATAGAAAATAAACACCACCTCTATCATCTAAACCTACTTCACAATGTGAAAGAACGATGTACTTATTTCTTTTATAATAAAAGTATTGTTCTCTATGTTCAGCTCTATCTTGATCTCAATGTTACTCATTAGTTGATTGAAATTTAATACTCATTTTGTGGATGTACAATTGTTTCTTGAATTGACACATTGGATTTACGGTTTAATGAATCTACTAAAATTTCGCCATCTTGACATGTTGGTTTTGAATTAATTGCTCCATCTTCACACATTGGATGAGTATTAATAATAATTATATAGATATATTGCATTCACATTCCAAAAGTCTAACCATTTTGACGCGTTGGATGTTTATTAATAACGACTATATAAGTGTGTTAAAAAATCTAAACAACAACAAAAACATATAAAGATTGGAGTTAGTCTCTTCATATTCTGTTTTGTAGCTCTACAATTACTCCATTTTGACAAGTTGGATGAATGATTTAATGACATCTACCTATAATTGATACTAACAATTATATAGGTACAATTATTAATTTTATCTTAACACAACTTTGTATATATAAATATATAAGTAAAACCTTTCTATAGTCATAATGTTGGGATCAAACTAATTTATTACTATAAGGAGGTTATAACTTAATAAATGTGTAGTTACAACAAAACTATTTTGATTTTTGATTTTATAATTCATGTTTTAGTAGTATGTATTAGTACTTCAATTAATTGTTTTAGTAGTATTAGGATTTCTTATTTACTTTTAATATTACTTGTTTCTTATTTTATAATTTATGTTTTGGTAGTATTAGGATTTCAATTTATATTTTAGTAGTATTAAGATTTCAATTCATTGTTTTGACAGTATTAGGATTTCCTATTTACTTTTAATATTACTTGATTTCCTATTTTAAAATTCATGTTTTGGTAGTACTAGGATTTCAATTCATGTTTTAGTATTAGTAGGATTTCAATTCATTTGTTTTAGAAGCAGTATTAGAATTTCTTATTTACTTATCCTAGTAGAATTATCATTAGCTTGCTATAAATAGGGTTGTTATGTTTCAACTTATTCAATCAAGTTTTCAATAAAATCTTCCACCAATTCAAGTGATACCTTTCTTCTTCCTTGTAATGATTGCTTTATACTATATAGGGTACTCATAGAAGTATATCAAGTAGAATACATGTATATTAGCAAAAGTAAATGGGCCCAAAATTTTCTTTTATTACATATAAATATTCTTTATACAAAATAGAACAGCATTTACAAAATGCCATTAAAACAGCGGACAGTGTAGCTATTGCTCTTCATTTGCTGACGCCCGTCCAACCGCGTTCTCACCTAGATCCTGCATTCACAAGTAAAACAATGGGGTGAGCACAAAATAATGCTCAGTAAGTAAATCCTCTAAGACTGTCCCCGTAACTTCTTTCTTTTAATTCTTTCCTTACACTTTTCTCATTTCATTTATTATTTTCTCTTTCACACAGCTCTCGCTTACTTAACTTCTGCTATATGTCACGGCCTCATCTTACCGGAGGCACGGCCGGGTGGAGTTCACACAGCACCAACCCACTCTTCGTGACTTTCGGGTGGAGATCACAAAGCACCAACCCGTTTTTCATAACTTTCTCATTCTCTCTACTCTTAGAGTAGTTCATCCAAAGTTCTCTACTCTTTCTCAAGCCACTTCTCAATGCACAATTAATCTTTTCCACTAATACACTCATGAAATGCCAATATGCAATGTTGCAAGAATTAAGGTTTACTACTCATGATTCTCTTAGGCATTTCATCAAACAACTAGTGTGCATACATAAACTCTACTTTATCTATGGTTCTATTCCTTTCTTGAACCATCCAAAATGGGAGAAAACTCCCTCACCAAGCTATAATTCCTGTCACTACATAACACTTCCAAAGAAATTACTCAATCTCCTCCAACTTCATTTCAAACTACATCCCCTCATCACATGTTAACACTTCTCCTTGATGTATTCAACAACCATACAACAAATACTTATCTCAACCCAATTTCTCAATATATCATACACATGCATAAGTAAATCTCTACTAAATCTCTACTTAAAAGTTTTCTCAAATTTCAACTTGGGATGGATTTACTTACCTTGCAAAGGAGAGATCACACTTGCACTTTCCGTTCCTTTAAAATGCTTGTCTCTTCTCTACCCTTTAAACAATAACACCATAAGATTTCAATACATAATATATGCAAACCTTCACATCTAAAGCAAGAATCCTTACTTTAGGATGCCTTAGATTGATTTTCTACCAAGATCCAACTAAAAGCCTTCAAAGATCCTTGAAAGATTGAAGGAAGAGTTGAGAGGAAATGGTGAAAGAGTATGGTGGTGGAAGAAGAATGAATGAAGGGTTTACTAAGCTTTAACCCTTTAGCTCAAAATATATTCTTTCATTCCCATATTGCCCTTACTCTTTCTTCAAAATTCCATCTTTGTCCTTTCAATCATTACAATCACACCCCCACTCTAACATATTCTCCATAAAATTCTCTTACATTTTACTCCCCACTTTTCCTGCTAACTAAGGGTAGAAAGGTCATTTTACTCCTATGAAAGAATTCTCTAGAAACCTCAATATACATTTTATTCGGCTCTTCGCCACGGCGAAGACTCTTTCTTCGCCCCGGCGAAAAATTACAGAACCTACCTCTTTGGTTGCAGAACCTCGTCGCCGCGGCGAAGATTATTTTTCGTCCCGGCGAAGTCTGTAACACCAAGATTTCGCTAAGTCTTTACAATTTCAGGGCAACTACTCAACCAAACCAATACATGCATTCAACTAAGGGCCAATCAAACAATATGAACAATATACCAACTCAAATAAGAGCAAAACAATAAACATTAGCTACGTACCTCAAGTGGGGCTTTACATTCCTCTAGCAAATCAATCATGCCACCCAAAGTTAATACACGAACTCAATTGACTGAAAGTATTCGTGTTGAATTGTGTATAATGAAAGAATCAAACCATAGTTGGAAGCAGAAAGATCTTGTGAAGTGGTTAGAAGATACTCATGGTCTTAAGGCATCACAAGCAGCAATATCTAAGACACTCAAACGATCAGCTGACCTCCTTCAAGAAGAAGGATTGTTGAACCCAAACACAAAACATTCAAAGATGGTAAAGTACCCAGCAATGGAGTCTGCCCTCTATGAATGGTTTGTATGCCATCAAGAGCATGTCAATATGAATGGTGCATTGTTAAAAGATAAGGGAAATATGTTTCTAAGGAAACTCTATCCCGAAGCTACCTCGTTTGTATTTTCAAATGGATGGTTGGAAAAGTTCAAGCAACAACATGCAATTCATTCTTTTTGTCGTTTTGGGGAAAGTGGTTCAGTTAATATGGAGAAAATTGAAGTAAGCTTGCCATCAATAAGAGAGGCATTAGACAAATAGGCTTGGAAGGACATTTATAATATGGATGAAACTGGCTTATTTTATCGAATGCAAGCCAATAACTCTCTTGCAACAAAGCAGTTGGAGGGTCAAAAGAAAAACAAAGAGAGGATTACAATTGTTATTTGTTGCAATGGCGATGGCGATGGCTCTGACAAACTTCCGCTTTGGGTCATCGGTAAGTTTCTTAATCCAAGATGCTTTAATAATGTTAACCGTGATAATCTCAATTGCAAGTATTGAGCGAATTCAAATGCATAGATGACATCTTTGTTTTTTATAGAATGGCTTAAGTGGTTTGATAGCTGTTTGGATAGAAATGTCTTGCTTATATTGGATAATTGTACTGCACATGGCAAAAAGGAGAATCTTCCCCCACTTCATCACACAACTTTCCTGTTCCTACCACTAGCTAGCACTTCCAAAATCCAGCCATGTGATGCAAGCATTATTAGAAATTTCAAAGGTTATTATCGGCAACGCTTTAAGCGCTTACTTTTGAAACGGATAGAAGATCATGTATTGGAACCAGAAAAGATAAGTATCCTTGATGGAATTGTAAATGCAGTTGCTACATGGTCAATTGATGTAAAGCCACAGATAATTATCAATTGTTTTAAGCATTGCAAAATTAGGACCTCCGATGTCGATGAATTGCAAGTTACAAATGAAGTGGATGAAGAGAATAGAAAAGTCATTGCAGAATTGAGTGATCAAATTCGACAACTTCACTATACTAATCGAATGGATATTAATATCTTCCTCGATCATCTAAATGAGCAACAAGTCGTATATGCTTTAACTGAAGAAGAAATCATTTATGCAATTAGACAAGAAGAGAAAAGAAATAATCCTAAGGATGATAGTACGGAAATGCAAAAAGTTTTGTGCCATGAAGCTCTAAAGATGCTTGAGAAGCTAGAAATATTTTGGCTTCAACAAGAAGGTGTCCATGCTAGCGAGTTATTATATACTCGCAAGTTAGAAGATTTGGTAACAACTCTAAAGCATAAATCATTGTCCCAAACAATTTTAGATAAATATTTTATTTCATCATAAACCTTTAATGTAACATAGTATATATATTTTTTGCAATATACAAATAATTATTACTATGTGGAGGCAACTTTCCTTAAGACGGGAATTAAAAAAATTATAACTTATTACAATGTGGAGTTTATTCTTATTTATAACTATCCCAAATTGGGAATAGAATTTTTTATGACTATGTAGAGTTTATTCCTATATAGAGTATCATTATAGAGAGGTTTTACTCTCTCTCTCTCTCTCTCTCTCTCTCTCTCTCTCTCTCTCTCTCTCTCTCTCTCTCTATATATATATATATATATATACACAATTTATATTTACTTTAAAGTTTGTATTATTTAACAATTATTATGTCTTAATCTAATTAGTTTATTTTATTAGAATAAATTTGTTTACAATCTATTTCAAAAACATTGAATAAACATACCTGCGCAATGTGCGGCCCCATGTCTAGTTAATTAATAAGCTTTAACATTAAAACTAAAACTATAAGGCAAGTTAGATGAAGTAGTTGTGACTCACTATTTGACTGAAAGAATTAGTTATTTCAATTCACTGATTCTCAATACGTACTTACAATCCTTATATAGGTATAATATAGTCCATTGCATCTCCTAATTATGTCAGTTACAGATTACACAATATACTAACATAATTAGGAGATTACAGAATATCAAGAATATTTTGAGTATCCTAAATCTGACAAAATAAGAAGATTACAAAATATTTAGGAAATTGCAACACTCCCCCTCAAGTTGGTGCGTAGATGTCACACATGCCCAACTTGTCTAAAACTTGTGAGAATATACGTTTAGAGACAACCTTGGTAAGAATGTTGGCCAATTGATCCCTGATCGAATCTTAGGCAATTCAATAATCTTTTCATCCAGTTTTTCTTTGATGAAAAATCTATCTACTTCAACATGTTTTGTATGATCATGTTGAACTATATTATTGCAAGCAATATCATATGTTGCTTTATTGTCACAATATAACTGGCTTTGTTGATTAGGTTGATATCCCAAATCTTGCAAGAGAAATCGTAACCACAAAGCTTCATAAATCCCAAGTGTCATTCCTCTAAATTTTGCTTCAACGCTTGCGTGTGCCACAACATTCTATTTTTTGCTTCTCCATATGACTAGATTACCTCCTACAAAGTGAAATAACACGAAGTAGATTGCCTTTCATCCACTGCTCCTGCCTAATCAGCATCAGTATATGCATTCACATTTTGGTAATCCATATTTTTAGTAAATAGGATTCCTTTCCCAAGGGCATGTTTTAAGTATCTCAAAATGCGCATGACAACATTCATATGGTGTTCTCTAAGGTTATGCATGAACTAACTGACTATACTCAATGCATAGGCAAGATCTGGCCTAGTGTGTGACAAGTATATCAATCTTCCCACAAGTCTCTAATATCTCCCTTTGTCAACTGGTACTTGATCAGTCTTGATACATAATTTCAAACATTCTTCAGTTGGTGTATATGTTGGTTGACATGCTGACATACCAGTTTCCTGTAAAACATCTAAGGCATACTTTCTTTGTGATAGAAAGATACCTTTGTTAGATCGAGCCACTTTGTTTTCAAGAACATATTTCAAAGAACCTAGGTCTTTCATTTTGAATTCTTCTGACAAGTACTTTTGCTGAGCTTTTCTTTCTTTTGGATCATTTCCAGTGACCACATACCATCCACATATATAATAAGTGCGGTGATCTTTCCTTGCTATTTCTTTAGGAACAATGTCTGATCTGAATTACCCTAGTGGTAGCTGAAAAGACTTCATAGCTTTTGTAAACCTCCCAAACCATGCCCTCAGAGATTGCTTCAACATATATAGAGATTTCTTTAACTTACATACCTTTTGGTTGTGCTTTTCCGGTGAAAACACCTTGGTGGAGCATTCATATATACCTCTTTTGACAATTCTCCATGTAGGAAAGCATTTTTCACTTCGAATTGTTGTAATGGCCAATCAAGGTTTGCAGCTAAAGATAATAAAATATGTACCGTGTTGATTTTAGCTACGGGTGCAAATGTCTCTGTATAGTCTATCCCATGGGTTTAGGTGTACTCTTTTGCTATTAGTCTGGCTTTGAATCTCTCAATTGTACCATCAACTTTATACTTCATAGTGTAAACCCATCGACATCCAACAATCTTCTTTCCTGGTGGACGATCAACAGGTTCCCAAGTCTCATTCTTCTGTAACGATTTCATTTCCTTATTCATAGTAGTTTTCCATTTTGGATCAAATAATGCTTCCTACACACTGTTAGGAATAGATACAGTAGATAATTGATTCACAAATGGCATATTCGATTCTGATAGATGATGGTTAGACACATAATGACTCATGGGGTATTTGACCTTACTAGATAGTTCTAGTTCGTATGTTGGTTTGGGAATCCCTCTAGTACTATATGGTGGTAACTGTTTCCTAATTGGTTCAAACTCTAAATCAGGAACATTTTTAACAAATGATGATTATGACATACCAAGAATGAGAGAATCAGACTGAGAAGCCTCTACAGATAGGTTTGATACCACCTCCACATTTTCATCAACCACTTCATCTTCTTGTCGAACAACAGGTCTAGTTTATGACTCATAGTCTCCCACATCTTGAACAACATCCTGAACAGCATAGTCAAGTGTCTGAATTTCTTCTTGACAATACTCTCCCTGAAGTTCAGACTCAGAAGAAAAATACATCAATTCTTCATGGAAAACAACATCCATTGTCACAATCGTTTGTTGAATTGGAGGATGATAACATCGATACTCCTTTTAATGAAAACCATACCCAACGAAAACACATTTCAATGCACAAGGGGACAACTTGTTGCATTGATGTTTATGAAGCTGAACAAAGGCGATACATCCAAAAACATGAGGCAGTAAGTTTGAGACTGTTGGAGCATTCACTGCTTTACCAAGAGCTTGAAAATGTGTCTTGAACCCAATAGAACTAAAGGGTACCTCGTTGATTAGGTAGGCTATAGAAGTAAGTGCTTCTCCACAAAAGGATAACGGCATGTGAGCTTCTATTAATGAAGCATGAACAACATTCAATAAGTGCTGATTTTTCCGCTCAGCAACACCATTTTGTTGGGGTGTGTTAGGACAAGTAGTTTGATGAATAATACCATGTGTTGCCAAGTACTGTTGAAGATCCGAACTTTGATATTCTCCTCCATTGTCACTTCGAAGCACCTGAGCTTGTGCATTATATTGTGTACAAACCATTTTGTGAAATCTCTGAAAGAGAAAATTAACCCCCCTTTAGATTTCATTAGACATACCCAAGTCATCCTTGTATAATGATTAATTAAAGTAACAAACCAAAGGGATCCACCTAAAGTAGTAACTTGTGGTGGCCTCCGGACATCCGAATGTATAATCATAAAATGAATTGGACTTTTGTTGAATGTTATTAGAAATGGGACTCGATGGCTTTTTGATAGTTCACAAATGTCACAGTGGAAGTTACTGATATCATTTTTATCAAGCAAACTTGGAAATAGTTTCTTTAAGTAACCAAACAAAGCATGTCCAAGGCGTCGATGCCATAACCAAATGTCAGATTTCTGTTTATCCCTTTTAAGTAATCTACTGTCAAAGCCTACTCTAACATAGTAGAACTTTGTGACTTTAAATCCAAGTAATACAATTGTCCCCGTCTAACACTATAGCAAATCGTCTACTTTGTTTGAATGCTTTTAAACTCACAAAGGTTAGGCCAAAAAATCACCACACAAGATAAGACTTTGGTTATTTTGGAGACTGACAAGAAGTTATAATTTAGGGATGGAATTGCTAACACAGAATCTAAGTGTAAAGTATTTTTGAGGGTCCTTCCCTAATTACTCGGGTGGACTCACCATTGGTAGTAAAAACAAATTTTTGTGGGGATGTTTTAAGGTTAGAAACATGCCTAG